CTCTCTTCCACCTTCAATACCACGACTGAGGTGCCCTTGAGCAAGGCACCGAACCCCCGACTGCTCCCCGGCAAAAAAAAAAAAAAAGGCTGCCCAGTGCTCCGGGTGTGTGTTCACGGTGTGCGTGTGTGTTTTCACTACCCTCTGCTCTGTGTGTGTACTTGAATAGGTGAAATGGGGTGGGGTTGTGTTCATTGGAGTGTAAGTAAAATTTTACTTTCACTTTCAAATTAGCGACAATTCCACGCCAATTGCTTGAATGGACAACAACAAAACAGTACAAAGACAAACTCACATTAAACATAAAACTTTTATTAACAAAATAAGTAAAAATACACCAAATAAATAAGAAATATAGAACTTTTATTAGCAAAACGAATAAGAAAGTTGGAGGCATGGCATACACCTTGATGTAAAATAAAATAAATAAATAACACAAAGTTTAAATAAAGTAAAAATCAGCAACGAGTGAAACCAAATAAATAAGAGACAAATATAAAAAAAAAATCCAAAATCACCTTAGATAAATGGCAAAAGTCAACAGGCTTTTCAAAATCCAAAATATTGCCAAACGCTTTTGCATTTCATTTTGAAACTAAATCTTCCATCATCATCTTGTCTGTCTCACCTCACTCTTCTTGTCAGTCAGCTCAACTCACTCTTCTCATGTGATAAATTAAATTTCTCTCCAGCTGCTGATCTGTGATGCGACTCTGGTTCGGCACGCTGCATTGAGCATCCACGTTCAGTTTTTAACGGTATTGTCTGTTCTCTAACTGAACTAAATGATTTTTACTACTATAAAAATCAAAACGACGGTGGCGGGAGGTGCCGCGGTGGGCAAGTGACGTAACCAATGTTACAGCTTAACAAGCCTAGCGTGAACCCCGTCCTGCAGTCAATTTTAAAGAATTCACTGGTCATGTCAATCACAGCAGTGATTGCCTACACAACACTGAAACAAATACTAACCCCTAAACCTAACCTACACCTTAACCTTAAATATAGCACATCCTAATAGACAGAATTACCGTTTGTTTGCAATCATCTATAAAGTCTTTTCTTGACAGGCATGACTGAATTGACCAATGAAATGGGCTGCGGTTTAAAGGATACTTCACCCAAAACTTCGCTGTGAAACTTACACATGAAATGATGCAGAGGCACAGAGTTTCACAAACTTGTTGCATGAATTTCACAACGCACTTACATCACACTTCACAGAGTGCTGACAGCTGGCTGGAAGCAATGGTTCATAGTTTAAAAAGTTTAAAATATTAGTATTTTTCCCTCACACACACCTATCGTTCCACTTCAGAAGACATTGGTTCACCAACTGGGGTCGTATGGAGTACCGCTGTGTTTGTATTGTGTGGTTTTTTAAGCATCAACTTTGAGGGACCAACAAAAGATGGACTCGTAGACTCACAAAGATGGATTATATTCCCTAAAATCTCCATTTGAGTTCCACAGAAGTAAGAAAATCCTATACATCTGGATGAGTAAATAATTAGAGAATTATTTCTGGTTAGAGAAACCATTTAACTTGTTTGAGGAAATTACATCTAATCTCTCAAATTCATGAAGAACCATTCAATCTTACGCAACATGAAGGAATCTTAACTCTTACCTGTGGCTCCCTCCCCAAGCCAGCCCCTCCTCCAACGGCAATCACAGGCACTCCTGTCTGGGCCGAGACAAATTCCAGCATAGGTGCTAATGGTGCGCGGTTGGGCGGTGGCGGCTTCTCTTCCTCAAACACAAGGCCTTGTAGTGGAGTGGTAGCCAGTAACTCACACAACTGTAGCAAGAGGCTCCCAGGACTGCTCTCGTTCACGGCCAGCCAGATCACATTCGCGGGTCCCCATGGTGTCATCACGCTCTCACCCACCTGTCCTGACCAGGCCCGACTCAGAAAACCTGTCCCCGAGTTGCTGCTGCTGCTTGGCCCGGCACCGGAGCCGGAGCCCGCCGAAGAGGCAACGCCCACGCCCACACCCCCCACCCCGGCACTCGTTTCCGGGAGGTGGGAGGAGCCGGAGTGGACTACAGCGATGTTGACTCCGCCCGAAGCCCCTCCAGAGTCCCTCTCTCTCTCCCGGGGGCGGAGCAGCAGTGGGGGCGAGGGTTGGGCCGGCCCAGTGCACGCCAGCACAGCCAATAAGAACGAAAGGATGGGCCTCGCTGCCATGACACGGCCAGAGAGTCACTTGGGTGGGTAGCGCTTTATGCAGGAACAAGACCTTGAGGGAGAAAAGAAAGAAGGACTGTAAGAAACAACATAACTGAACTGAACAGAGGGAAAACATGAAAGGCAGGCTGTCAGCATACAGTCCATCAGCATCAATTAGGACGCCACCAGACACCAAGATACATTAACCCCGGCAGCGGTAGTTTAGTCCCTGCATGGGGATTGGAGAAGAAAGCTAACATGTCTCACCTCCCTGAACCCCACCATTCCCCAGGGAACATGGGAAATCATTACTCCTCCTGCACTGATTCATGCATTAGATCTTTCAACGCAGGAGAGAGTCTAGATTATCTGCTATAAATCTGCCTGGTCGTAAAGCGTCCATCCCTGCCTGGGTAGATCCAGAACAGACTGAGTAAATAAAAGTGAATATAAAGGGGATGAGGCCACCCTCCGCGCCTTTTGTTTGTGTTCCTCGCACAATGAGCGAAAAAAGCGAGAGCACACAAGAACAAGAGAGGGAGGGAGAGACGGCGCGCTTGTGCTGATACAAATGGAAGGCCATGTAAGCGCCAGCAACACCATGAATCATTTTCAAGTCACTTTGTACGCCAGCCATCAAAACCTACCCACCCATCCCTCCGCCTTCGCTGCAGACATGCACATACACACTCTCTTTAATTAACCTCCCACTAAACACACTTATTTACACACAAACAACCTGTACGTGAGTGCACAATCAGGCAATAGTGTGATATACCGTGTGATGTATAGCACAAGCGTACCTATACTCGCTCTAATGTGCATATTAAGTAAAGCACTGACTCAGGGCTTGGCAGCACATTCACACACCCACAAACGCAAATGCACATCTATCTCGCCATCATACTGGCTATGTTTCAGTGCCGGAGCTGCTAATGTCATAGCTTTGAACCAGAAGGCACGCTGACGTCATAATTTCTTCTCTCATTTCCCTCCTTCTCTCTCCCCCATTAATTCTCTTTGTGGTTCTTTTGATACTGGGAAAAAGACACACAGAATGGGGGATTAAGACTTGGGAAAGCAAGATCCGTTTGGGAAAGACCAATAGGCAGATTGGTTATAGGCAATCTGCCTATTGGACCAATAGGCAGATTGGTTGACCAATTGGTTATAGGAAAGACCAATAGGCAGATCTCTTTTCATTTTTCAGAAAAATGAAAGAGATCTGGACGTTTGGATGGAAGCAGAGTGTGTGAAGTGGGAATAAAGAGAAGGGGTGGAAATGATGGGAGCAAAGGAGGTAGAATGAGAAATATTTAAGAGTGAGTTCAATAAACGTAAAGACAGATGCCTAAAAGGGAGTTTTGAGTAAAAGCAAAAGGGCCTATCAGAGGGTTTGCTGCATAATTCAGCACATCATTACTGCATTCACACCAGCCTATAGGCAAAGACTGCAGTGGCGAGTAAGGGGGAAACACTGCGGACTAAATGGAAGAACACAAACAAAATTTATTTGACTGTTATTATGACCTGTGCACAGTACTTCAAGTGGATGGCAGGCTTTTGAAAAGGGCTATAGGTTTCAGCTCTCATTCAGTGTGTTGAAATCCAAAGGTATTGTGGACCAGAGGTGACTTGTTTGTGCATCAAGCATAAAAATCCATTAAAATTATAATTCCGCTTCAAAGAAATACGAAGTAACGGATGGATAAGAAAACAATAACCCATACAGTAGACCGAGTCTAGATATGAACATCTGTTCTGGATAGTTAACTATGATTATAAATGAAGCTGTGGAGGTATAAAGCTCCTTATGTTTGATTCAAATGGGTTATTAGTAAGAGAGTGCAAAAAAAACAGTAGAGTAGGAAGTCCAACACACCTCAGGCAAAATCATCAGACTTACAGTATTTGTTGGCGGTAATGCATTACAAGTAACAAAGAGTTACATAATCGGATTACTTATTTTCAAGTAACTAGTCAAGTAATGCATTACTTTTTAATTTACAAGAAAATATCTAAGTTACTTTAATGCCAGTTACTTAGTTTCTCATGTATTGACTGACAGCTCTCCTGTCCTCATGTTGAGAGAAATCAGGAGTAAGTGCAGAGGCGTTGTGTGCGCTGTGTGAACATGATGTTACTGTAGTTCTAGACTAAATGTCAACATGTATTTACTCATCTCACTCGCACAAAAACAGATTCAGTATTCCTCAAAATTAATAAAAACAGTCAAATGCAAACTCAGGACATGACGCAATAACTTTCCATAAAAAGTAACCAAGTAACAATTACTTTTTTAGGAAGTAACGCAATATTGTAATGCATTACTTTTAAAAGTAACTTTCCCCAACACTGCTTCTAAACACGCAGTAAATTGAAAAGGAGGTTAAATATTTGAGAGGTTAAATATCTATAGGCACTATAGATATTTCCAAAGGTGTTTTTTTAATCCCAGACTAACATGGCAAAGTAATTAAGGGTAATTATGAACCCTGCAAAGGTGCAAGTGTCAAAAATGTTCAGACTGGTTTGACGCTAAAGTCTGGTTTGTTTACACCAAAGAACTGCATGACTTCTCATGAAAATGAGGTTGAGGGTTCTTGTCATCTAGGCCAGTGGTTGTGCCCTCAGGAGGTGCGCAGCATGACTCTGAAAAACATTTTTAATATGCAAAAATAATGAAGACGTTTACTTCAAGATGTTGCTTCATTCAAATAGTTATTGTTCTATGTCTCATTTATAAAAGTCTATTTTTAATTTTAAATATAAATTAATGCATCTATAAGACTCCTACATAGCCAGCACTGTTACATCAGTAGTGCAGGATGTGAATAAGTAATGTTCGCTTGTGCTGATATATCCACAAGTGTGTATATCACAATTTTACTCTGGGCAAAAACTAAGGCGATCGACAAAATGGCAAGATGATATTCTGTTTGCCCTTAAAGTCTGTGAGCGTGACTTTCTGAAGACGAGCTTAAAGAGTGGGCTGCTTTTGACTCTGGAACACTGAATTCCGCTACAATATCGACAATGAAACCAGACAGCAGTTCATGCGCTTCTAAAAAGAAATTAAAAGCTTTAAAGGAATCGTTCACCCAAAAATGAAAATTGTCATCATTTACTCATCCTCATGTTGTTCCAAACCTGTATGAGTTTCTTTATGTTGAACATAAAAGAAGATATTTTGAAGAATGCTGGTAATCAAACAGGTGATGGTATTTCTACTATGGAAGTCAATGGGGACCAACAACTGTTTGGTTCTTCAAAATTCTTCAAAATATATTCTTTTGGGTTTAGCATAAGAAAGAAACTTATACAGGTTTGGAACGACATGAGGGTGAGTAAATGATGACAAAATTTTTGGGTGAACTATTCCTTTAAGACACAGTACAATACATTGTTCTAAATTCATAAATGTAATTTTTTTTCAGTATGACTGATTTTAAATGCCCTTAAAATAGATTAGCAAAACCGAAAAGGTGAAGCAAACATTGTTCCCAATTTTTATGAGAATTTAAAAGCTTGTTGCCACATGTTGATGACGGAAGCACTTCGTCACATCAGAAAATAGTGTGAAAGCAGACCAGGGGGGAACAACTGAAATTGGGTATGTACTGAAGGAATCATTCAAAGTGTGAAAACACTCTCTAAGTCAGGCAATTTGGCCAGTCATTGCCTCTGTTAGTGGCTGTCTGGTGATTAAGACTCTGCTGATAACGCAGACGTCACAAATGTGATTCTGGGTAGGACTGACACATAAACTGGGGAGTTTCTAAGTGAAGCCTAACACAATCAAGCCTTTCATCAAGACACTTAATACCATGTTGCTCTAGGGAAACAGCTCCTGCCATTTGTGTACTATATCATCTGCTAAATGAAAGCACACTGGCGATTAAACTTGTACACTGAAATGAAAATGCCACCAAGCAGTAACTTCACAATCATTTAGTAATTATTCCAATGGGTTTTTTTTCCAATTGTGCTTCAGAAAATATACATTACTTAAAGCTAGCTGTTGTGACAAAGCAGCTGATGAAAGACAAAAATGAACTTAATGCTGCTCTACACAAGTTATACTCCAGTCTCAGAACAAGCCACGGGTCTAAAATAACCAAACTATCACCCCACAATTTAACATGCCTAACATATTCAAATTATGCTATACTGTAAATTATCAAATAAATAAATGTAAATGGTATGTAGAATTCTAAAGGGACAATAATGCAATTTTACCTTCCCCTGTGGGGTATTGTTGTGTGGGTTCATGTTGTTTCCCCAAGAGTATGACGGCAATAAATATTTCAGTCTCGACACACAAGTCGCACAGTGCAAATCTGTTCAGGGTTGATAAGTAGAATTGACTCATTCTGGAGCGAGTGACCTCATGATGAAATGAGTCAAAGAGAAAATGTTTTGAGATTTCTGTGGCGTACTGTAAAGGCAGTATACGTTTTCTGCATGGTGACCCCATCTTAGCACATCACTGCTCTCCAATATGTACTGTAGAGACAGTTTCTGGTGCTCAAGAAGCTGAACCAATAATCTTAAGCAAAGTAATCTTAAGCAAAATTAGTCAAACTAGCATTTCTACAAAAAGATTCATGATATAATAACCCTAGTAAAAAATCCAATGCCATACATTTATTTCATACTAAGTACACATCAAATCCATTAACATATTTATTGACTTAAGACTTACTGATATTAAATTATAATGACACTTTATTTGGAGTATTTCTGTATTGCATAACACACATTTCTTAATATTATGCCTAAAATTAGTTTTAATATAACTATTAATAAGTATTGTATGATCTCTGTATAATATCAGTCTTTAAATGCAAGATATTTAAAGTGTACCTGAAGTATACTTGCAATAGTTCTACTTAGGCATGGGCAAGTATTAGATTTTGATGGTATGATAACCTTAAGCAAAAATATCACAGTATTGTTGTTACAGCTCTAAAATGTGCTATTTTTAAATGTCTTAAAAAATTACAAAAAAGTTAATT